GATAATTGTTATTTATGATAATAATGGTGATAATGAATATAATTCATCCACTACTAATATTATATTTAAGAAAATATTTCAAAATATAATAAATAATATTTTCGTCTTGGTCTTTTTTAACATCAAGCTGCGCAACGCGCGGGTGACGTACTAGTATTAATTCAGAACGTGTTGAGTTTAAGTGGCAGACTCGTATGCTTCGAGATCTTATGTTGCAACATTGCATGTTTCAGATCTTATGTGCCAACATTACATGCTTCGTTATTAGGCTTGGGTAAATTTTAATTTACTACCAATAAAAAAATAATCAGGTCAGGATTATCCATAAATATATTGATCATTTACGGTCTTTTTATATGTATTAATTGAATTTTAATATCATTTCTTATTATAACCATTGAATTGTAAATGTACTTTAAAATTTAATAACTTTTGTATTTTTTATCAGTTTTGCATATAATATCAAACTAATCATCTTTTGATAAACTTTGATTTAACATCCATATTATATGTATAAAAATAAATAATTATATTTATCTTATAACAATAATATTTTTTTAATATTAATTAGAAAAATAAAATTAATTACCAATTAATATATAACACATGTAAGTCACACAAGTAACAAGTGTCGTTCGTCTTATAATAATATATATATTTTTTGTAAAAAAGTAAATAATTTTTTTTTTAAAAAAATCTCATTAATTTTGAAATTTGAGAATATTTTTTAACAATCTCTCGTATAATACACGGGTGTTGTACTAATCGTTATTATTCCCCAATACACCCACTCGGATGTGATTTGTCTATTTATGATTTTTTGATATCTCGAATTAAACTTCTTTTAAAAATTTTAAAATTTCAAATTAAATACAATAATATTCTTATAAGTCATATTTTCCAGAAGGAATACAACCCCCTCACTCATATGTGATTTGTCATAAATGAATTTTCATTTCACCATAAAATATTAATTAAATATTATAATATATTAAACAAAACACCATAACAAATCACATATTTTAATTTAACTAACAATCACTATTAATCATTATTTCATTATTCATATATAAATATATATTAGTTCTCACCGACATATTTTCGTCTTATATTATGTATTCATAGTCTCACAATTATTTTATATCCTCTAAAAATAATACTGTTCACAATTTTATCCCTACTATTCTCGAACAAAATAAAATTTATCCTAAAAGTTTCATATATATATATATATACATTATAAAGGAAAAATACTACGGTCTGGTTACGGAACCACTCGATCGGGATTTGTAGCCGTTAGATTATCATGTAATCGTCGTGGATAGTTAATTTAACAGTTACAAATCCAACAGAATAGTTCCGTAACCGGAACATTAGCATCTCCCCCTTGTAAAATGGCACCTAATTGAACACTAGTAAAACTCTTGAAACGTACAAATTCAACATGACGAGATTTGATGCAATCATGTTGGACACGATTTGGGCGGTTTTGTTGAGCTTGGGTATACGTGGCTCTCAACCCAACTCGTCCGATTCTTCCCCACTATTTCACCCCCATTCTACAGTCTACACAGACCCCATTCTCTCTCTAACTCAATCCTTGATTCCCTTTTCCTTCTCTGACCCTTTCTATAGGTTTACTTATTCTCCACTATTCAGTGCGATAAAGGCGCGGCCTTTGCTCTTGTGCTTCTGTATTTTATGATTTTATCTGTTTTATATGTCGTCTCTTGTAGTAGTTCTTAAGATTGAGATCTATTATGTAGTTTTGGATTAGTGGGATTTTCGCGATAATTTTGGTGATGGGCGTTGAACGACCGGAGTGGTTGCCGGCTGGCTGGAGTGTTCGCGTCAAAGTTCGGGACACTGGAAAGAAAGACAAGGTAATTGTGTAGAAAAAGATCTTGAATTGGGCTTTGTGTATTCTCCATTTTTCTTGTATGGTTGATTTTATTTAGTGAAATTGCTGTGGTTTGATTTGGGGATCCTTATGATTCATGGGTTGTGGAAAGTGAAAGAGGAATTGTGTGTTTGTGTGTGTGTGTGTGTGTGTGTGTGTGCGTGCGTTCCTTTATAGATTGTTTGCTGCACGCTGGTAATGATTATTTGGTTCGGGTTTGATTTTTCTTGTTAAAAGTTAACTCCTTTTTGTGGAAGACTGCTAATTTTCAGCATAATTTTTTTCTGAAAATCGTGAAGTGGTTACAGGTAAGTCACTTGAGGTTTAGGCCTTAGCCACACAGCATAAAATGTATACTGACAAGTTGTAAGTACCGACTGCTTATAGGTTTTATGCTACGTTGCTGTCAGTATATGGAAACCAACGCATTTAAAATAGACTAGTATCGATACAGTAATGATGGATTTTACTTATTAGTGACTAGAACAATGGTAACGGCAAGAGCACATGTTTTGGTGTTGCAGATGGCGTAAAATCTTCAACAATGCTCTCTTCCTCTAGTTGTGCAAAATCCACTAGATAGTCATTTTTTACACTAGTCACGTGGTCTTCGTTTTTCAAGTGAAAATATGGTTCTTATTTGTCACAACATTTTCAGCTACTTCCTCAAAATCTTCTCAATTGGGAGTACCACGACAGACAACAAATTCAAATATCAAAGCAATGAGGTTTCCCCGAAAAAATCTAGTTGACCACTCCTTTGGTTTTCTAGTTGATAAGCACTATAGTTCTCAAATGTCAGTTAGATAAACAACTATCTCTTAGAAGTCAAAATTAGCTGGATAAGGCTTTCGAGTACGAACATGAGTTTCTGCAGAGTGGTGGCGTGGTAGTTGGTTTTCTGGTTGTGAGTGTTGTTCCTTCATCAGTTTTCTGGTTTGTAGTTGATGATGTCATTTGATTTGCTTTGCTTTGTCTGCAACTAGATCCTGCAGTAACTTGACACTGAATATTCTAACCTTACTACAACATTTATAATAAAAATAAGGGTTAATTGCTGAATAAACCTTTAACATTTTTGCGTTTGACAATTATATCCCAATCTTTAGATAATTGTAATATAATCTCGACCTCAATTTACTTATTGCAAGTCAAACCTAAAACCGGTTGGACATTCAAAAAACTGGTCGATTTGAAGGCAGTTCGAATAGATTGGAGCTCATATTTACCGGTTCACTCCAGATCTAGGAGGAGACTCATCACCGGTAGCTTACATTGACGTGGAATTTTCGGCTTTGTGCGTGAATATACATTAAATACGTGGAAATTGTCAACTTGCTACGTGAATGGCATAAAAACCCGTGTCCATGGACGACTTGGACACAAAATCGATCCACAAATCCCTAAAATCAATCACTCTGCACAAAAATTTGCAACAAGTAAATTGAGGTCGAGATTATATTGCAACTACCCAGATAAAATTGCCAAACGCAAAAAAGTTAAAGTTTATTTAGCAATTAACCCTAAAAATAAATATACTTCTCCTACTAATGTGCTTTGGAGACAATATTCCAACTACGCCACCAAAATGGGCCAGAATATGATTAGCCCTTTGTCTTACACACACACAGTTGTCCGAAAAAATGTGCTTTTGTTACACATTATATATGTCTCCTACAGTTTTGTGTCCCGACAGGAGTTTATACTAGCAATAAAAGATATGGAATCTTTTCTCTTCACTTCTGAGTATTTTTGTTGGTAGTTTCTAGATATGTACATATATACCACCGTGCATCACTTTTCATATAAAAGATAATTTCCTCTGTATGGTGGTTTATTAACCGTCTGAAACGAGAAATCCCTAATGTTGGTGTACTATAAAAAGATGTCCACTATTTGCTTAATTGTGCATTTTATGCGTTGTCTCAAAATAAGTGGTTCAGTCTTCTGTCTATGTTCAGTATTTGTTACCTTAAAGAATTGATTATCGTTTTTCTGATTATTTTATTTGTTGTCTCTAGTATTATGTCAATTCCTCAAAGGGCATCACGTTAAGCTCGAAACCGGAGGTGCTTCGGTATCTAAAATGTTCCGGAAAAGATGTTGGAAAAGATGTGAAACTGAAAGGTTCTGGAAAAGATGGGAAACCAAAGGAAGTGACTAAGGTGAATCTGAACTGGGACCATCTTTTATAATTAATGTCTGTCTGTTTGTACATGAACTTCATTTACATATAAAACTTGTACCTCAACAGCAATCGTTGAACAAGTCCACTTTATTGTGCTTACCCAAACGTGGGGCTTGTGTAAAACATGGGCAGGCCCCACAGTGAATTCATATGTAAAGCCCATCGTTATAAGATTTTCACATAACATTTGTTTCGTGCGTCGTAAGCGAAAATTTGATGTTGCAACATTGTAGAGTAACATCCAAAAGACTGTTGCGGATAACTTACCTCCAGGGTGGATTAAGGAAGTAAGATCCAGAAAGACGGGTAGCAAGACAAAGAGTGACAAGGTACTGATCCATTAATTTATATCTGCTTTTACTTCAGATTTATTGCATTTGAACTTTTAGCGTGCCATGTATTTTTTTTCTCTTTTCTCTAATAATGTATCAACATGCAATTTTGAATTTTTAACTTGTGCTATTCTGGAAGTATTATATTGACCCCATCAGCGGACGACAATTCCGCTCCATGCAAGAAGTTTTTCGGTACCTTGAGTCAAAGGATTTGGGGGAGCACGCCAAGTCAACGCCTGATGACCGAGATCATGTCAGTTTGAAGTTGGGATACGACTCTAAATCTGTTAGTCGGCCTTTTGACTCATTTGTTTTCATCAGTTTTTTTAGCATGTCCTGCTGTATGATATATGAATATCACAGCTGTGTTCCCCACTTCCCTCAATAAGATCGGAAAATTATAACATTTAACCAAGCAATTATATCTGCACTTTCTGTTTGCGATTTCTCTGCATAATGAATTAAACAACTACCCCAAATTTAAACCTCAGTGGTTTAATCTGAACTGAGACCGTGTTCTCACTATTAATATAATTACAGGTGTAACATCTGTCTTATTATTATTATTATTATTATTATTATTATTATTTATTTTTTCCTGATCACCTCACTGAAGAAGTCTAGCCGTGCATGACGACAACATGTTACAAATAATAACACATTTTGCTAGAAATAAACTGCCAAACAGGCAAATGATACCAGATTATTAGTGCTGTATATCGGACCACCAACATTTATAATCAAAGGACGAAAGTGAGTCAAGTAGTCATTAAGGCATCAATCATCATTATAAGAAGTCACATATAGCCTCTGACCTATGCATCGGATGTTTGACACTTTAATAACTATGGGACACTTTGGTGATAGAATTCCTTGTAGGAGTAAGAATAAGGTCTTGGTATTTGCAAATCAACCTCTTTGTTCCATGAATTCTATGCATTCTCTGACTTTACCTTTTGACTTTGCATGGTTCTTCTAGTCATCTGGTGGAACCAAAGGACAGAGATTGACTGACAAGAACGCTGATAAGAGTTTAACTGGCAAACGGAGTGTAAAGTCAGGTCTTGAACATATCCTTGCACATAGTGTTCTGCTCCAAGCTTGCAGCTTGATCTGTAAATTTTATTGATGTACTAAAGATTTAGGGTGTGTTTGTATATGAAATATCTCAATCCTCACTCAATTCATACTCAAAATCTAACCCAGTTTTAATTCAACCCCACTATCCTCAATATTATCAATATCGTTAAATGATATCAACCAATCATTCTTACACATCACATCAACTTTAATTTACTATTGATCCACTCACATAATTTTAACAAACTATCACTTCATATCATCTATGTCCTATTTTTACGTCAAATCAACTTTAATTATTTTATTTTAAATATTATTTTAATATAAAATCAAAATCCCACTAACAATTAACCATACTACTTTTTTTCAAAAATTAACTCTGGTTAACAAAAATTACTTATTTTAAGCGAAAATATTCGTATACAAACATGCTCTTAGTTTATATTTTTTTGAGTTGTTTTTATTTATTTTGCCTTGTAATGGTTATGATATTTTCATGTTTCTTCTGGGATGGAACTTGCTAAAGGACTGAATAAAAAGATTCAGCTTTTCTTAGTTTGATTTTTTATTCAACACAGACGAATTCAGACACTGACTATTTGTTCATTGAAAAAGATATAGTGCCATTCTGATGGTCACTATCTTTCTTGCCATCAGGATCGAGATTTGCAGTTGGTTTAAAAGATGGTTCGAAGGAACATGTAAGTATGCCAACAGAGCAAGGAGGAGATGATGATACAGATCCCGAGCTTTCTGATAAACTTGTGGACCTAGTTGAAAAACTTGCAGATAGAAAGCGTAGAAGAAAGAAATTGGCTGACAGCAGAGTGGATAAAAGTGCTGATGAAGATCAGAGATCAAAATCAGATCAGAGATCAAAATCAGGTGAACATAACATCTCCACTTCCCAATTCATATGTGCGTTATTTTATTTCTGTCCAAAAGTGTTATTAGACTGCAATTCAGCTTCAGATTTTCAATCTTTTTATGGGTGGCTGGCTCTGGATGCGCTTTCTACTTTACAAGCGGTGCTTTCAGATCTAAAGAAATGCAGAAAATATATGTCTCACAGTTATTATGTAATTGAATTGATATTTTGGAATAAGAGGCTTTCAAATGACGGTTTTTGGGAGTTCCTATGTAATTTCATTATCGTTAGGTTGAATTATGATATAATAAATTTGCATTTTCAGGGTCAAAAGTTGAAAACCAAGATATGCCTATTCAAGAGCACGGAGATAGCAAACGCGGCTGTGTGGGTGGGGATCTCCCACATAAGCTGCCACAAGTAAATGCAAATGATCAAGTTGAAGGTGAAGGTGGAAGAAGACGAAGTATGAGACTGTCAGTCAGAAAACAGAAAGATAAGTCCTTACGATCAGGTGACTGCCATCTTATCAGAAAATTTCATCTTTTATATTACTTGTTTAGTGTTGCTTGATTTTGTGTTGATCTAATCATGACTACATACCCTCACGTTGTCTCTTAGAAAAAAAAACCCGATTGTTCCAAATTACAAATGCTCATTTGTAGTTGCTTCTGTTTAACTAATTGCACTCTCACTAACCTCATTTTGGTGTTTGTAATATCCTAAGTGGCTATTTGTTATTCTGGAAGGCAAAACCTCTGGCTAGTTGATTAAATTCTTCTTCTTGCCAAATGATTGATTACTTTCCGTCTGGCAAAACACTTAGATACATTTAGTAAGGATTGACATTAATGCTAGCATTCAAGCAGAGAGTAGAATCATCTTCTTTCAACGAATTCTAAGTGGAGATTGATTTCCTCACTTTGAGCTTTTGCAGGCTCGGGAGGGCCTGCCAAGAAAGTTATTATTCCATCTGAGAGCAATATGTTGGAGGAAAAAGAAAAGGAAAATAACTCCACAGGCGACGGTAAACAACAGCACGAAAGCCCATCATACAACAAGAAGAGAAAAACCCTAAATAACAAATCGGCAAGCGACTTGCCACATAGAAAGCCAAAAAGAGTCGCTCGTGAGGAAATCAATCTTTCATCACAATCCCCCGAAATTAAGACGAGCAACCAATCCGGTGCACTTGTATCCTCGCTGCCAGCTGGCAAATTGGAAGAAGTTACTGCCACCAAAAACAACATTGGTAGATCTGGGCCTTCGGAAAAGAAACAGATTGGCACCACTGCCCGTAAAAACTCAAATGAGCATAATCATTCGAGATGTGCACTGGAATTTTATTCGACCAAAAGTGAGGAAAAGCCTAATGAACCCTCTCTGCCAGCTGGCGAGCTGGAAGTTACTACTGCCAAAAACAAGATTGGCAGATCTGGGCCTTCCAACAAGCCACAGATTGGCACCACCGCCCACGAAAACTCAAAGGACCATAATCATTCAAAATGCGGGCAGGAAAATTCAACCAAAAATGAGGAAAAGCCTAATAAACCTTCTCCGCCAGCTGGTGAGTTGGAAGTTACTACAGCCAAAAACAATATTGGCAGATCTGGGCCTCCCAACAAGTCACAGATTGGCACCACCGCCCACAAAAACTCAAAAGAGAATAATCATTCGAAATGCGGGCCAGAAAATTCGACTAAAAATGAGGAAAAGCCTGTTATTAGTCATGACGGCAAGGAGGATGAAAACCCTTGTCAAAAGCCTGAAATGAAACCCCAATCCGCACTGAACGACCTGCTGAGGGATCCTTGCATTGAATTTGCCGTCAAAACCTTAACTGGCGCAATTCCCATTGAGGAAGTGAATAAAGTTTGTGGAAATCCAGTTTCTTCTTCTTCTCTGTCTCCGCCTCATGGATCTTCAACTTTGTCTTCTAATAAGTCGGCTTGTGGAAATATTTGGGCCGACCCTTGTTTTGAATTTGCCGCGAAAATACTCACAGGTGAGGTTCCTGTGAAGGAGGACGGCTCACAAATTCGTATCGCATTTCAGCAGCCTCGAGACCCGTCTTTAGATAATGTCTACCCTTTGGATACTTTTAGCCAATTCGCTGGCGTGAAAAATGCCTGGGAAAGGCAACAAGGTGTAAAAGATCCTTCTCTTGCTCGTGCCGTGAATGATGGTCGTGGTAGCTCGTATGGCTGTGGGCTGCTGTCAAAGGACACCAAGCTGTAGTGTAGGATAGTTTGTGAGTTGTAATGTGTGGATTTTGGTTTGCAGAATTAGCTGTTTTGCAGATAATGCATAGTGGAATTTTTCAGAACCCCATTTTGTGATTATTTGCAGCAGTTAAGTGAACTCTCATGTGCAATGAATATTCTGATTTTAGTGATAGTTATCTTTTTTATTTTTTTTTTATTTTTTATTTATTATTTATTTTTTGTTCTTCCCCCATATAAGAATAATGTTTTCACAATGCATAATTAAAGATTTTGTTATAGTTCAAGTCCACCAGGTTGAACGATTTATGATGCTTGGATCTTTCACCAAAGACTCGGCGTACAATGTATTCGTATTCTATTTATGTTCGTATTCTATTTATATTCGACGTATGTATTCTATTTATGTTCGTGGTATCGTCGAGTTTTGATTTTGGTTTGAGAAAGGAAGAAGGAAAGAAAAAAAAAATATATTTCTTTCCATTTAGGCAAAAAGTTATCTCATTTATATAATGGAGTTACTACTAATTCACAAAATTTAAATTGTTTATGAGTTACTATAATTTGATTAATGTTCAGTTCTTTTAACTTGTAATAAAAGGAAAGTTTCAGTTCCGTTACAGAATCATTCCATCGAGATTTATAACCAACAGATCATCATGTAACCGTCGGAGTTAGTTGATCTAACAGTTACCCACGCCGACGAAATGGTTTCGTAACGGGACCGTAACAACTCCCATAATAAAATTACTTTCATGTTTAGTGAATTTGTAAGTAGTAGATAATAAATACTAAAATATCTTGCAATAATATATTTTTTTTATTTATATAATATCATACTTCACTGAATTTCAATCATATATTTAAGAAACATAATTAATATCAATCTTAAATGCTGTTAGGGCAACCAAACAATTACCAAATCAAAACCTTGTACATCAGAATTCTTCCCCACACCATACGACACCGTTTCGACCCCCGAAAGCAGCCCGCCATAACTCACTGGTCCTTTGCCGCCAAAATCATTCCGACCCGACGGCCACAACACAACTACCTTTCAACTCTCCCATTTATCAAAACCCCATTTTTTTTTTTTTTTTCCACAAATCGATCTCTAAAGAAAGTCAGCAACTTTTGATATTTTGATTTCTATACACAGAGAAACACGAACACGAGATGCAAATCAAACTAAAGTGCAGCTGCGGAGAGGGCAGGTGTCCCGAATGGGCAGTCGTGGAGGTTCAGGGGGTCGTCGAAGCCCAGCCCTCGTTTCAGGACCGCCTTCAAAACCTTGAGATCGGCCTTCTCTGCCGCCCTTCTTCTCAGGTTCCTACAGTGATTCGACTTTTATTTTTTAGTAAGCCTGATTATTAGCTGTAGAAAGAATTTTCTATTCCCACCTTCTTGATTTCGAATTTCAAATTTCGGGATTATGAAGCCATCCGAATTTCTGGGCTGTTCATTTTTTTTTCATATTTTTCTTATTTTCTTCTCCCCAATTGGTTGCATTTTTCAGGAAAGTTATACATTCACTGTGGGGTACCATGAGCTGACAGGGACAAAAGTGAATCTAAAGAAGCCGATTGTGGTGTTGAAGAAGATTAAGTTCGATGATGAAGTAAAGGAGGGCGAAGGCAGTTCAAATTCTAAGAGGGTTGAGTTGGATGTGATTGGAGTGATTCGTCACAAAATCCTATTCAAGACGAGGCCTAGAGCACTTATATCCACTAAGGGTATGTTATACTGTATTTGCAAGGCCTCACCAATTTCTGTTTGCTTTTTAGGGAGAAACATTGTTTGCGGGTGAAGTCTCGCGTAGTCTGTGTGTGTTCTTGCATTTTACATAAAATTGCTACTAAATGTGCTGTCTCCCAGATTTGTTTGCTGCTAATGTTTGCTTGTTGGGCATGAATAATATATGTTCGTAGCTCAAAATATGACATACGAGATTCAAGCATTACGTTTTGGAAATTTTATAGGGGATGGAAATAGTGGGGATTCACAGAAAATGAACTTTTGCAGATAAATTTCCTAACTCATCCTTTGAACTTTGCTGCACGCTTAACAAATTTATTTTCGACCCGCAGTCATTGAGGCCTCATACGATGCACCTAAAGATATGGGGGAATATGAGGTAGTGTCATATATTGGTTAATTAGTAGGTGGATTCAAAACGAATAAAAAGCTTCTATCTTGTATTTTTGCATTTTGGTGGTACTAGTTGGGGTCTAGGTCTGCATGTTGTAGATTTTGTCGGCTCAATTTTAATGGATTTGAGAGCACGATGTTCTGTGACGTGGATAGTAAATGACCGAACAACAATAAACTACAGCAGTTGTAATTGCAACCCTCTACTGGCTTGAAAGTTGGATCGAACAACAATAAACTACAGCAGTTGTAATTGCAACCCTCTACTGGCTTGAAAGTTGGATCGAAACCAGTTGTCTTTGATTATTCTTGTTAGCACTTGTTAGTGCCATTACTTGAAGCTACATTAGAATAGCTTCACCTATACATAGTTTACCCCTAAACCATATACAGTCGTATTAGAGCCTTCTATTGGTGCCATTACTGCCTTCGCATCGATACTAGGTCGAGTCTAATTTTCCTCTGCAAATACAGATTACTTGGGTAGATGTTGGATCTGCAAGTGCTGGTAATTTGTTTTCGTCTTTTTTTTTTTTTTTTTGTGTGTGTACGAGAATGAAATGAATATTGATGCAGAGGTTTTTTGATAATGAGTATTCGTTAGAGCGCAGCTCAGTATGAGATGAAAATGTATACTCTGATCTATTGATTTGATGTAAAATAGTTTAAATAATTATTCGATTCGATTTACAGTTAAAGATTTGTTAGATCACGCATAGTGGATTTACGGGGAAATTAGAGTAATAATTTGGTCTTTTCTTCAAGAAAAATAGGAGTGATTTGATACTTTTTGAAGTTCAATATCTGTAGTGTCATAAATGGAATTCTTCTTCTTTTGGACCAAATTACCACATCAGTTTTTACCTTCTGATGGCATTAACTTGTAGGAGTGCATTTACCTGGTCTGATACAATCCTTAATAATTTGCAGAACCTCAACAATCTGGGAAGGAAAGAATCACGGCACCAAGTTCGATGGCGTTGAACTAAAATATGATCAAGCTATGTTAATGATGATAACCCTGTTTGTGTTGAATTATGTGGATGCTATATAAGTTGAAGGCGCTTTGATCACCTCAAACGAATTACTGAGTCGTGCTGATAGTGTTGATTTTCGCAGCAAGTCTTTTGTTTAAACTTTGAAATGGTGCTGAGTACTGGGTTTATATTGGCTTGAATAACTGTAGTAATTCATAAATAAACGGCATAAAATGATAATCATTCGAGAGTGGCTCCTCTTCAGGTAAGTACAGAACAAGATATGATTTATTCAGTAGGCAACAAACTTCTCTCATTCTTCAGCAGCACTTGCAGCACTTAAGTCCACATTGAGATCAAGAACCTGAAAAGGGGCCAAAAAAA